TTATTTTGTTCTGGAAGTGAACTACTCCCAATCCCTTTAACATATTGAATTCTTGTCACTGTGAAGGTAACATAAAAGTGTACACAAAGAGTGACCTTCAAATCCTTTTGAATGCATTGCTCAGTTAGCTAGCTTTGAACATGTTGGCAGTTTAAGTTAACTTTGTATTTCTTGCGCAGCATGATCTTTCAAACTGTTGCTCTGTCTAGATGGTAGACATTTTAGGACACATTTTATGTGAATTCCCTCTATTGACCTTATTCTTCAATGAATAAGTGCGCTCGTTTTTGAGATTGTTTTAGAAATTTTGATTGAGCTTCCTATGAGAGAAATGACTAGGAATAATAAACAGCTTAAAACAAAAAACAAAACAAAAAATGTCAGTGGCGAGGCAGTGGCGCAGTAGGTAGTGCTGTCGCCTCACAGCAAGAAGGTCGCTGGGTCGCTGGTTCGAACCTCGGCTCAGTTGGTGTTTCTGTGTGGAGTTTGCATGGGTTTCCTCCGGGTACTCCAGTTTCCCCCACAGTCCAAAGACATGCGGTACAGGTGAATTGGGTTGGCTAAATTTTCCGTAGTGTATGAGTGTGTGTGTGTGTGTGTGTGTGTGTGTGTGAATGTGTTTGTATGATGTGTGTGTCCCAGAGATGGGTTGCAGCTGGAAGGGCATCCACTGCGTAAAATCTTGCTGGATAAGTTGGCGGTTCATTCCGCTGTAGCAACCCCGGATTAATAAAGGGACTAAGCCGACAAGAAAATGGATGAATGAATGAATGAATGAAAATGTCAGTTTGCAACATCAAGCAGCACAACAAGCTGCTTTTAATGTCTAAAAATGAATGAAAGTGAATAAGACCTGAAGTCTCGAACCAAAAAGATTTAAATGGCTGGTGAATAGCAGTAGCAGCCCCTGGTTTCTTTTCCATAAATATGTACTTGTGTAAATTAGGGCTGCACGATATTGAAAAAAATTAACATTGCGATATTTTTTTTCTATGCGATATATATTGCGATTATATATAATAGAGATATAATGTCACAAGATGACTTCAACAACTCTTTAGAGACTTTAGATTGATTTGGATGATTTTATAGGGGAGTGAAATATAAATGTATTTTTATGTAATGTATTATAAACATATAATAAACAAAATACACATAAATAAACACAATGGAGCAAATATTCAAGAGAAATAAACAGTGATTTATGATTTTCTGCCCAGAATCTAACAGTATTCGGTTACAGAAAATGAATAATCAAGTGTATAAATTGTTTAATGAAATTAATCTTTATTAAACTTTTTTTGTACTCTATTAAAATGCTTAAAATTCAATATAATGCCATCAGTCTATAGAAATTTTCTAGTATTTCTCTGTTGCAATTGGGATATCACCATAATTAACCCCGAAAAGCCAAAGCAAATCTATCAATATCTTACCAGATTACTGTTGTGTTTGCCATAAGGAAAAAAGATAAACTCTTTCTAAAACTTTCTTTCTGTTTACTGAACTAGTCTGTAGTAGCAAAAACAGAAAAATCCCATCTTACACTCAATAAAATACAATTACTATTGATTAAATACAGCACTACAACAAACAAAAGAGAGAGATCGACTTAGAATGTGATTTACTAGTTTTATAATGATTTATATTATAAATATTTACAATAGGCACTATCCTTTTAAATAAACAACTACATTCTCACCTAAAAAAAGCCTTAAAAGTGCATTCTGCAATATTTGGTGAGTTGCAAAACTGTGGTGAGTTGATTGATCTGCTGTCACTCTATGTAGGCGGAGTACTACAGAAAGGTGAGGAAGCTATAGGTGTTCTGATATTGCAGAATATCGCACTGCTATCAGCCAATCAGATTTGAAAACCAGACAGAACTTTTGTATAAAGTATATTATATATTAGTTTTATTATAACTAAATAAGGTTCTTATCATACACCTTTTTTAATGTTAACTTGTCTGTTTTACAGGTGAAGTGTAAAATGACACTATACAGTACAATCATTTTCAGTTGACTATAATGTAATGCTCAAGACAAAAAGTGAATTGGCAGTTTTCCAGATGCTCAGCTGTGCAACTGTTTATATATGTGCAGTTAGCTATACTGCACTGGCTCCTGGAAGCCTTGTGTTAGATTGCACATCAATTGATTCAACAGAATGCAAGCTAACACTGAATATCTAAATATCTGCACAGCCTCTGTGACTTGGTGTTCGTTTTAATGCTGGGGGCCGAAATATTCTTCTGATCGTTGTTTTCATTGCAGACTAGTGATCCGTACTGTGCTTCTACATCTCTGTTAAAGGCAGTATCCAGCTCAGCATTTTTTTTTTCAGAGCAGGAATGCTATATGTAGCGCAAGAAGGAAATAACTGTGGCGGCTTGCCAAGCTTTGAGGGAATGCGGGGACGGAGGGGAGGGTGGAAAAGAGAAAAGAAAACAAACTTGAAGGCAAAGCGTTCGCGGTCGGCTCCCAGAGTTGAGTGAGGAGTTTTTCAGACGCGAGAGGTGTGTGTGTGTGTGTGTGTGTGTACGCACTGAGCAGTAATAGTCTATTCAGAGAGCAGCACTGGCTCTGTGCCAGACCGCGAGGTGATAGCGAGCATGGGGTAATTGCTGCCTACCCAGCAGCCTGCTGGATTGTGCTCATGGGATCCAGTGACAGCATCGCGCCTCTGAGTGCTTCAGCCCACCTTGCCCGTCTGTGCGCACTCGCACACTAATATTATTGCCGTCTCTTGGCATTAGACCCTGCCGCCATGCATTAGGGGCCGTAATGTGTAGATAATTCTCAAAACTGACACTTGTATCGTTTACTAATTCTGTTGTCTGTGAGAACAGCTCTGTGGTTGCGCTGCGGCTTTGCATGCAAGCTATTTTGAGCCACGCTCTGTCTGTGTGTGTGTGTGTGCATGTCTGCAGGTGTGTGTGTGTCTCTAACGAGGTGCTCTGGTGGTTTCACACACCACACGCCCAATCAGATGCTGTCAGGCATCTGCAGCGCATCAGTGCGTAGAGCAGTCTCTAGGTGTGTGTGTTTGTTGACATGTCTGCTGGGAGATCTGATGTTCAACTGTCAGTGTCAGCCCCCGCACAGGAACCTGTGCACACACACATATGCCTTTTGTTTCCCTAGGCTCCTCCTTCTTCTTAACCCCACAGGACACATTGCCACCGTGCAAACCTTACACTTCTTGGGGCTTTCCGTCAGATTTGTTCAGATTATTGTCATTTAATTCACTGAGGTCTTGTTCAGTGTAGTAACTTAGTTAACTTTAAGTCCCCCATGTACTCACGGCAGGTCTCCATCACAATGTAGCGCTGTCTTCCTTAACAGTTCATTCACATGCAGAAGGCTTCAGCATTTAGAAAGGAAAGGTTTTTGCATTGTTGTAGCTGTCTAACTGATGCACTGCTCCGTCAGTACAGTAACTGTGAGTAACAACACTCCCCCATCTCCACGGCACAGGAATGTGTGTAGTTTTCAGTTCGCGATCTGTGCTCTGAGATGGAGGAAACAGTTATTGCCTGTGGGAAATAACTTTTTAACTGGCTCTCTGAAAGGTAACGTGAAGGATGCTAGAGGTAGCACCTCGTCTGTGGATAAACTTGGTTAAAAATGCTTAACACTGTTTCATAAAAAAAAATAAAAAAAATCATTACAAAAAATAATTTCCACAGGAAATAATCATTTAAGTTCACTTTTCCTGTGGCAAATTCTAATTCCTGTGCAGGTTTCCTGTTCCGCCGTACAATGGCAGAAAATATCTAAATATTTTATTTATTTAGATTTAGTCATTTTAGTTCTTAATTCATTTAGACATGACAGCTGAGAAAAAAGTGTGACAAAAATACATCTTAGTTCCTTTTTTCTGGTAGCTAAGTCATCAAGATTAGAAATGGGATGATAACCGGTTTCAAGAATTACCATGGTTTGGAAAGTCAAGGTTTTAAAACCACTGAAGTTTTCTCTTATATTATATTATATTATATTATATTATATTATATTATATTATATTATATTATATTATATTATATTATATTTATTATATTATATTGTATTATTTTATATTTAAGGGTTTTTCATAAGTTTTTTAAAATGTTGTAAAGAAATCTGTGTTTTTAAAAATAATTAAGATAGCAGAAGTCAGTGATTTATTTTATTTATTTAGCCTAACATGTTTACTGTTCCAAAACATTTCAAATGTTTCCTGAAGTAAAATATATTGTGCTCAATGGAGATAAAATAGTTGATAAAATAGTACCCAGAGATTTAACAATAACTTCTTTTAAAGCAGTAATCACAATACTGTGAAACTGTGATATTTTTATGCAAGGTTATCATAACCATCAGAAACTTATATTGGCCCATGCTTAATCACGATACACAATTCTGTCAGTAAACAGTATTAAAAGTGCACATATGCTGTTGTATAGTGTTTTGTGTCTATTTGCAGTGTAAATATTTGCCCTAACCTATAAGGTAACGATACTATTGACACTTAAGTGGGTGATTGCACAGCAGCGGATATATTAAAACACATCTATGTCAAAGTTTTGCTATTTATATCCTACATGTGAGAACCTGACCTGTGTGAGTCATGTGGAAAATGATTCTAGATTTAGAATTGTTATCAAGGATTGTTGTCTGGAAAGGAAATTGTAGTTTTTTTTTGTTCCAAAGGAAGTCCTAGTCTTTGTTCCATTCTTAAAACCTCTTTAAAATTGATGCACTGTTTGAAATAGTCTAAGATCAAACAAATCATTGATGCTAAACTCGAAAATGCGAAACACCACAATAGCACCATTTGATGCTTTGCTGAGAAGTGTTTTTTCCTCTTTTCTTTGCACATTTAAGTGTGGTATGTGCCAGCAAAGTGCTGTAGATTGATTTCATTTGTTTACTCAAGCAGCTGCATTGATGTTTGTCATCTTCCAGAGTGCTGATTAGGTATCTACTAAAGTGCTGATCTTTTTGTCTCTTTTACAGGATGATAATGATGGGATGCCCTGGTCGGAGGAGCGAGTGGTGCGGAAGGTGCTTTATCTCTCGCTAAAGGAGTTTAAGAGCGCACAGAAGCGCCAGCTCTGTGACGGCATCGACGATGAGGGAAAAGGCCCTAATGGTAAGAAAAATGTTCAATGTTTTCTTCACTGAGTATCTAAATTAGTGGCAATGCTAAGTAAAAGCTAGGGTGACAGCTGGTCCATCTGATCCCAAGAGGTATAAATAATAATGAAACATTTTAAGAACAAGTAATACGATCATGGGGAATGAGCACTTCTCCTGTTTCTGTTTAATGGTGAGCTGTAAGTCTGAGTAGTCAAAACAATTCAAACCTTAAACTGCAATTAAATAGTTCCTGATTGGTTGATACTCATCACCCCAACCCATTATACTTGCTCACCATACCTGGGACCCAGTTTCTAATGGTTAAAAATCCTGACATTTTTATATGTGATTAAAACACTGGGTTATCTTTAGACCTGTGTGTTATGTTATGTTTATTTTAGGCTTTGTTGATTCTGATTGCAATACATTTAAAAAACTTAACTTACGTCTTCCTTCTTTCTGCTGTGAGTACAGTATCTGGGTATTGAATGGTGACATGAGTCTGTCATTACACCACTTGTATATTGGGTTGATTCGAAGGGGGTGTTCAGACTGTTATGACACCTTATAATTAACTTTATTTCTGCTTATTACAAGTGTCATTCACTCAGTTATGTCATTTTAAATAAAATAAGATGGCATAGTTTGAGAGGTTTTTGTCATGACAATTGATCATAAATGTGACATGATTGCCATGAGGCTATTTTAATTGAATATTTTTTTGGTCTTTTTTTTTCGGTGGAACAAACTAAATTGTTTACTGATAACATTTTCAGCTAAAATGTTCAGTAAAAGTGTCAATACCATGTCAATTAATTTTATAACAGCATCATTTTTGTTTTTATGATATTTAATAACTAATTAAATTTGTAATACTGTATTTGAGATCAAGTAAGATGACTGTTACAATTTTTTATGACACTGCTAAGCCTGGTTTATACTTGGCATGTCCACTATTACGCTTGAGTGCGCACGGTGAATGTGACGTCGTTGCAGTGTTTGTGGAGGTTCACTTTGGGTGAGCGCGACATGATTTCGGCTGGCAGAGCGCACTTTTTTTTTTTGACTCGAGCGAACAGTTCATTTGAGTTTAATAATGAATCATTTTGAAGAGATTTTGTCTGAAACAGGCACAACTGTACAAATCTGTCCTAGGAATAACCAAATAACCAATAATTATTGGCTAGAAATTGCAACAGCAGTGAGAAAAGAGGAACATTTTTGTTTGGAAACAGTTTGGAAAAACCTGAGGGATAAGTTTGTTAAGGCCAAAACAGATTATTTAATTACAGAAATATGTTTTTTAACATTCATTTTGAATTAAAAATAATTTAATATTTACAGGACTATAATTAAGGAAAAAAAATATTTATTTATATTATTATTATTATTTTATTTTTTATTTTTTTTACTTTATTGGTGATGATAGTTTATATATATATATATATATATATATATATATATATATATATATATATATATATATATATACGTATATGTATATATATATATAAACTGTCATATATATATATATATTTGAAGAGCAACCCATGTTCTGTTTCCATTTGATATTTTAATAAACTTTAATACGTACAACTGTCTGAGATATGAACAAAAGCAAGTGTTGCATCAAAGTTTGATAAAAAAAAATTCTTAAATGGTTATAAAAATCTTTATAATCATTAAAATAATTAATAAAAATAATTAGCTTAAAAATCTTGAATGATAATAATAATATGACGTAATATGACAATTTTTTTGACCGCCCCCTGTCTTTTTAAAGAATGTCACAGCTGCGAACGCATCAAGTATAAAAGTCTCATCCGTTTCATCAACGAAGATGCGTGATGCGGTGCCAGGCAAAAGTATAAATAAGGCTTTATAATAGCCTCATGATAATCGGGTTAATGACAGATGTATGACAATTTATGTTGTCTTGGTAATGTCAAGCTGTCATGACAAAGCCAAAGATCGGTTATCATGTATTTGGTTATGTCAAGATATCATAACAAAGATGTCTCAAACAGTGTCACCTCTCCATTTAAAACGACATAACTGAGCGAATGACACTTAATGACTGCTGTCATAAGCATGCATAACATCTCATTAAAATTGATGACATGTTGTCATATGAACCTCCTTTAAGTAAAGTGTTACCATATATTGTTTTCATGTACTTGGTATTGTCTGGACTTATCCCGAAACAGATATTATTGTCTGTATATTCTGTACTGTAACAATATTTATTGGGTTCTGTCCCGTTCAAGAGAAAATGATGCGGGAGATTATTATGCATGATGAACAAATTCTTAAAGTCACATTTAAATAAATAATGCATATATATTATATCATATAATTGAGCTCTTTCTCTATCAATCATAAAAAGTAATGCTGGTTTAGTCTTATATTGTAAAATGATTTAGTACTTTAGCTTATGAGTAGACACTTAATATATTATATAATGTCAAGATAATTTCATTTTAAATTCTTTTTCAAGTTTTACTATCTTTAAAAATCCAATGATCTAAAACCCTCATGTAACTTAATTAAACTCTTCTTTCATCCTTTTTAAGAAAGTGCATACTTTCTCAGCTATTGACACATGTCATCCGTCATATTTACTTTGAGTACAGTGCAAAGCTAAATTGGTTTGATTTGATCTGCTTTTATCTGGTCAAAGGAATTTCCTAAGGAGTTTTCCATCCACTGTGTATACGGGCAAAAGTGGCGTATGATCCAGGTTATTTCAGAGCTTTGGAAGTCATCTGATAGCTGTGTGTCTGACGCTGAAGCTCGGTACTCTGGGACTGTACTTCACACAGGCCTCAGAAAGCCAGAGCTTTCACTAAAAAGAGCTCTGAGACTCTAGAGGGAACAAAGAACAGGCCTTATACGTGTGAGTCTGCAGCCAGACGGAGAGACAAGGGGAAAATCCTTTTCTTGATGTGGACTAACCCCTTTTTATCACTCAATTGGGAACGAGAAAGAAAAATAAAAGAAATACAATAAATGTTAGATTTTATTCTCTTTCAGTAGCTAATTACGGCTGTCAGGAGTAAGGGGTCGCTTCTTAAAAACTTGAAGACGGCATTTTTAAAATGATATAAATGATACAAGACTGTGAGAAATTTCTTTTAGCCCTCTTAGTGTGTCAAAATGTGTTCATTTTGTTTTGAGCATCCCCTTATTTCACGCTGTCACCATTTAAAAAAAAAATATTAAAAGTGAGGCTGCGGTGGGAAGAAACTCGGAAAGTATAGGATCAGCACTGTAAACATTGCACCAACGTGCTATTGACTAAAAACCTCCAGCTGATGCCCTGATTTTTAATTGTGCAGATATGGTGTAAACATCCTCCTAGGCTTCATGGCACCAGGTAAACACAGTGAGGATGCTGCCCCATACAATGCAGTCCTCTGTAGCACACTCCCCTGTTGTTTGTTATTGTGTTGTCGTGGTACTGAAATTTTAGAAACCTCCATTTCCCCACTAACATTTAAGCGCCGTTGGCCGTGTTCTTAAACACAGCTGATTTGCCGTAGTATTCACCAGTGCTTAACAGAAATGACTGTGATTGGTTGAAAAGGTCATCAGTTCGCCCCTCTTCACCGAGTGCAAACACAGATACACAGACACTAGAGCGTTTTTAAGCCGCTAAGATCTGTCGAGTCATGAGCGGTTCGCTCATCTGTGTTTGTGCTCAGTAAATATTTGTTAAGTGCAGTGAACTGATGACCTTCATGGCCAATTACAGTCATTTCTGTTGAGCACTGGTGAATACTCGCTCAAGAACTCGCTCAACAGCGCTTAAATGTTAGCGGGAAATGGACGTTTTTTCATTTTTTTTATTTCAGTACCGACATTTAGTATTGTGACAGGTCTAATATAGTGAAAAAAAATCAGTTCATTAACTTGAGTATTATAAATGGCATCTAAGACGTGTATTTGGGAAAGAAAATGTTAGCTAACTTGTGCCATTTCACTTTACTTAGCTGAAAATGAGGTCTGATTCCCTTTTTTTTCACTATCCATTCAGAAAGGACCTTCAGGTCACTCGGAAGGTGGTGAAATGATAAATTGGTGTTACTTTCTCTTCGCTGATAAGATATACAGCAAGGTACACAACAATACGACATTGCGGACACTGTTCCTGTGTGACTCCAGGCGATACTTCCAGGTTTCTTCCCACCACAGTCTCGCTTTCACTTTTAAAATGGTGGCTGCATGAAATCAGTTTATTGTTTCACAAATATTTCACAAATATATTAGGTCACCTGGGTGTTTGTGGGGTCTTAGGTTCTAAAATGTATGAAATATGATGTTGTGAGTCTTAAACTTTTACACTTTTACACAAGTCTTGATTTTCCCTTTGATTTACCAATATGGTTTAAATATTTTCCCTACATCCTAACAATAACATTTGTTTAAAAGTTATTCATGTATTTTTGCATAAACGTAGTTCATTATGGTTTTTTTAAGTTATGCTAATAAAAAAATATGTATATAATTAGAGTTTGCTTGTTTGGACACACTATTCAAATTATGTGGCTCAGAAATTATTGAGTTTTCATTTTAATGGAGGAAGTAAAAACAAATTCCACTGGCCATTACAAAAAAAGTCTTAACTTTCATTCATTATGGTTTTAAAATATCTTAAATTTTACTTGGTGAAACCTGTAGAAACCCTGGTCAAAGAATACACCCTAAAATCAAGTTTTATGTCACTTTTAAAGTCCTGTTTCAAGTTTTATTTTTTAACAACAGTATGTTGTCTTATGCAAATATTTTTGGAAAGATTGTCAATAGTTTTCAAACATTTCAGTGTTTTGTCTGCTGAACTTTTCATGTCTATATACCTGTAGGTCCATATATAGGTATGATCCAAAGGTGAAGTTTAACAATAGCAGGAGTCGAAAGCAAACCCCTTTCGTCGCATGCAAACATGCAGAAAGACTAAAGCTGATTTTCAGTTCAGACGACAGCAGGAGAATAGACATACACTGTTTGAATAAA